TTCCTGGAAGAGGTAGTCTGACAGCGCTTGGTGACTCATGCTAGCACGGTCTAGCAGCTTTGCTTGCAATGCTAGCATCATGTTCTCTGTAATCTCCCTCGGTCGGCCGACGGGCTTGGATGGGGCATCGATCGTTCCATGTCGGATAATGTTGGAGCGGGCTCTACGCACGGATCTCTCGCCGCAGTTGATCACGGTTCTAGCTATCTCTTGGTCCTTGATTGCCTCGTCACCGTTAAGTTTACTCAATAAAATGCTTTGAAGCTCGTTTCGACGAAGTTTCGAGAGTCTAGGCGCCATGTTCGGAGGAATGTAAAGTGACGTGTTGCCACGTAAACCTCTGTTAATCCTAAACGGGAACCAGATTCGGAGGCGGATAAACATGGATACCGAAAGTAGTGTCATACTGGTCTGGAAGTATCCAGTGCGTATGGTCTGGCAATTAGCACTGGGTGGGTCCTTTTTTTTTCTTTAAACAGTATTAGTCTAGGAGGACGCAAATTATGCTCAAAACAATACAGTCATGGGCAAAATTGCCTTCCGTTTTAGGTAATAGTGACTGGATTTAAAGATGAGATCCACATAGTGTGAGTATACCAATCTCGCACTATATACATCTTGATCCGGAATTAAGATAGTCCGCCCCACTATTACTGTGCTAGTGCCTGGATTCGGAGATTATGCTTTTGTGTATTACTCTGTCCAACTCAATGGCGCCAAATCTCTCAAAGATTAAACGCGTTGAATTGCAGGAGGTTATAATCAGTAAACTCAAAGGCGAAGAAAAGATCGCAGACGAAATGATAGGCAGCAGCATCATTTCCTGCTCCGCGAAGACCGTACGAAACGCCCGACGCAACATCCTCCAACATGGCAGCATCGATGCCCCGCGTAATAACATCGGTCGGCCAAGAAAAATAACCGATTGGATGTGGCATGCTATAGACGAAAAAAACAAGGAAACTTCAATGAGCTTCCAAGCTATCGCTAATTTCCTGCAAACTGCATTTAATGTCAGCGTGGATAGGCGCACGGTCAGTAGAGAGATGGAACGACGTGATTGGTCTGGCCGGAAATCACAAGATGTAGCGAAAGAACGCGACCAGAACCTGCGAGACGACTGGATCGAGAGGCGATCCAAATATCCCATTGATACCATGATTTTCGTGGACGAAAGTGGTTGCGACCGAAGTCTAGGTATGCCGAAGAAGGTCTACGGTCCAAGAGGTGTGAGACCGGTTCGTGTGAAGCGTTTCCATCGCGGAAAGCGTATTCAGATTCTCCCTGCGTATACAATAGATGGTGTCATCTACTGTGAAGTTTACCGGGAAAATACAGACACAGAAGTATTTGAAGGCTTCATCGAAAGGCTCCTCCCGTTTTGCGGTAGATTTCCACAGCCACGATCCGTAATTTTCATGGATAATGCCTCGATACACTTTTCCCAGAGGATCAAAACGATGATTGCGGATGCTGGTGTGATCCTAGAATATTCATCGACCTATTCTCCCGACCTCATACCGATCGAATACTTCTTTGGCTCATTCAAAAACATCCTTAGATCGAAAGCACAAGAGGACATAGACCTTATCGAGGGCGACTTCAAATTCTACATCGAAATGCGCATTGCATTGATAAGGGAGGATAAAGAGTGGTCTAAGAAAATGGCTCGAGGGCACTTTAGATTGGCAGGGTTTTTTATTGAAGACGATGAGATTTAATTATAGCCACAGCGCGCTCTTTAAAAGCAAAACACATATTACTGGAAGTGTGGCAAAACCTGACAGACTATTCTCCGACAAGGCCATCAGACTGGCGAGCAACCGTCACCCCATATTCCGTGACCTGGCTTGCATCTTTACAAACCATGGAATTTTACACACGTAATTCCAAGCAATACCTTGCGGGATGCCGTGCTTCTCGTAAAATCTGCACATCTTTCCCTGGTTGCAGGCAATCATGTCGAGAGTATAACCGTTGACGATGGTCATGTCCTGAACTAAGTCGATATATGACTTTTGTTCATCACCTTTGTACTGGCTGCGCTGGTAGACACTGTAAGCAGCAACGGTATCCTCGCTAGGCATGTCAAAGGTGTACAGTGGTGACGTAGGAAAAACCATGTCGGGAGTGACAGGAGCACCTGAACCGTCGTGGCCAAGTTGGCAAGGAACAATCGTCAACGAGTCACCCGAGTCTCGTCGTTTCCTCTTACGCTCCTTTTTTTTACGTTCCCTCTCTTCCCAGTTCTGCTCTTCTTCAAGAAGTCGCTCTTTGAATGTGTCCGGCACATCGTCGTGTCCATGAAGAATGCCTCCAGATTGTAAGTGGTCAGCAAGCATCCTGATATGATGAGGCCACAGTCTGTAGTGCTTCGTGTTGTAGACCCAGCAATGAGTCGCTCCTTTAGACATGCAAGGAGGCTCACTGCATCGCATCGTGGCATAAGCTGTGCGGATGGCTGCAGGCTTTCCCATATAAGCTATCTCTTCGCTGATGGCAGCTCCAAGTACAGCTCTTTGTTGGTTCGAGGCCCCCCTTCCGGCTTTAGCTGCAGCATCCTGACTAGCGGATTGCTCGTAGTAGAATTTGGCTTCAATCGAAAAGATTTTCTCATTGCCAAGTGACTTACTCCATTCCTGCAGCGTTTGCGCTAGAAACGGCCATTCGATCTTTGATTGGCTTTGATAGCGTTTCTTGATGCTCTTTGTCCTGCGATCGTTGACCGACAAGACGAACAGAGCCGCTGCAGCCTTCCAGGGCTTATCCTCGCTTTCCTCCTTGAGCTTCGGACGCAAGACATGCTTCCAGAACTCTCTTGGACTGAGTACAATGTCGAGCTCAGACTGGCCAGCGCGCTCTCGGTTCTTTACAAACAGCTTCCACTCGACATTGTAACGCAGGGTTTGCGTGTTCTGGTACGATCGGGCTGGCTTCCACGCGGCAAACGGCACAAATGCAGGGAGGCCCCCAGCGGGTCTAAGTCCTCCATGCTGTGGGTAAGTCGCACTTTGAGAGTCATTGTCGGAAACGGAGCTATCGGAATTCTGGGCGTCGGTTACGTCGTCACACGAAAGGTCGTTCAAATGGTCACGGTCGGCCATGTTCTTACAGATGGCCTAGACGCCGTTGGAACCCTCTGGCGGATTAGAGGCTGGGGACTGGCCAGAAGACCCTACAGCACGTGACTGGGCTTCCATATCCTTCTGCCGGCTTCTTAGCTCTTGTAGCAACATTGTCTTGCAATTCTGCCGACCTAGCAGTTATATAGCTCAATGAATTGTCAACAAAATAAAAAAAATTGTGAAATAATGCGCCTGGTGTCAAAAATCCTGTCAGGCCAAAGCACCTAAAATTAAACTTCATGCGCGCGGTTACTCGCATAACAGATCGGACGGTAAGACATGGTGGCGAAGATGCTGGAGAAGGTAGCTCTCAGCTCGAGGCGCACTGTGAAACTAAACCCAATCAGCCAGAAACCTGCTGGTACCTGCCGCTACTTACGTGCTAGCGCAGGCAATAAACTGCTACACCCACAGTACCACACCAGCAATAGACGCCATTTCTAGCTGACTAGATACAAATCAAGTAGCCTAAAGTACCTGCCACTTTTAGCTAAAGTAGCCTAGAAAGAGGGACTAGTTTAAAAAGCGTAAGGCCCTTTTGCCCATGACTGTACACTAGAAGGCGGAATACGGTACTGTAAATGTCCCTTTTCTGTTAGTTGACTTATTAAAAAGCGGGTGGGTCTTCTTCTGGCGGATGGAGTCATCGGGTACCATGCACCAGCGTATTGATTCGGAGCAGAATTAGAATATGAAGGCAGGAACGGAAACATGAAGGCAGGGACGGAACAAATGGCTAATTACAGAGAATTGATTTCCAATTATGGAGGCCTCTTTCTCCTACATCGCCAGAAGCGGATTTTGTCACATGGGAGTAATGAATGCTGTAGATGTGCAATACGCCGCAGCTAAATTCGATGGCCTATTTCCACTGCTTGAAGTCTCCGATACCAAGTGGGTACTAAGCGGCCTTTCACGGCAGCCTAGATGGCTGCCAACTACTATTCTTAGTTAACTAAAAAAGGGACATTTGTTTCGCCTTTCTCTGTGCGTGGATACAGTTAAGTTATCAGCAATTCTGGCCACATTCGGCTTTGCCACGCTAAAAAGTGTAAGTTCCTGTTGCCCATGTTCGTTGCAGTAAATGCTTGTCGCGTCACAGCACGACGCGACGCGCCACTTTTACTCCCAATGTCTGCATGGACAATCTGTGTCGCGAGTCCCGGCGTGTTGAATTGCGTCGACGTGCGTGTTGGACACCCAGTTCCCGTTGCATGCCTCAGGCTTCCATGATGTCTGCCCCTGGCGTGGGCCTTCCTCGCTGTACCTGCCAATGTTGGCACGCTCTCACTCGGGAGAAGCCATGACCGGCCCGCAAGTACACACATTCCACTGTACGCACAAGAAGGCGAAACCTTGTCGGCAAAGAAATTGGTGGTGGCGTGCCCCTATTATGGAAGTGTCAAGCAAACCGTTTTGCTCTGCACGAGGCCACTGCCATGACCGGTGTACGAGCAGGTACCAGCCAGGCCTCGTTCCCAAAGCGTTCTAAGGCTGTCGCTTTGTCGCCAGTCGCCCTCTTGACTCGGTGAAGCACCCGCCGGATGTTTGAAGCGCAGCGCTCCTCACTGGTGTGCTCTGTTGCCAACTGGCTCCGTGACTGTTCTGGACACCTACCACTTTTTTTTGGCTCTGCTCTCGTCGGGCTTACAGCGCTAATCCGCGTGGCTGTTCAACTACATGCGATCACTGATAGACTAAGTGATCCATGTGACACGATGAAGAGATGATACGCTCATGAAGTAACATTTTTAGCGTAGACGTATCAACTTAACTCAATTGCTAAGAAGCGGGTGGTAACTCGGCTCTACTCGCACAAGTGTAAATGCACGGGTTCAATAGCTCACACCTAACCCTTCACTAGCGTCTAGTTATATCATGCGCGGCTACTTTACTTACTAGTCGGCTAAAGCACCGTGTCTACACGCGCGTAACAATAGTCTAATATGCCTACTGCTTAGACGAGCGTGCTGTATTGCTACTCGTGGCTAAGGATACTAGCCTATTATGTAAGGCCCTACTCATATGCCTGCATAAGGCTATCCTCGACTTTGCCTGCCTGGCGTGGCTAATGTCTTTCACAATTTGTGGTCTAGTACTTCCCTTTAAGCAATTACACCTAGTTAAGAACTAGAATTAGCTTTAGTAGTAGCAGGCTAAAGAAAGGGACAGGACGTCCTGCGGACACGATCCTTCGAGAGCCCGTAAAACTCTAGCTAGAATGAAGCTTTGCTTTCGGGAGAGATGACAATTAAATTAATGGGTAGATAGGACGCTGTATAGCTACATCGACGGTGGATGGGATAGCCTATGAAAGAAGAAGTGGCGATGACTACCGGAAAGCTTGCAACCGGAAAGGTCGTCATATTCGGAAGATCCTCCGGGACGCTCACCGTCAAAGGGTGGAGGAGGCTTCGACAAACTCATCCGGCCTCTGGAAACTCGTCAAGTGGGCGAAGAATAGACATATCCCCTCGTCAGCCTGTACGCCAGCTTTGGTTATGCCTGATGGCGGACTAGCTGAGGGGCCGGAGGAAAAGGCGGAGGCGCTACGACAGTCGTTCTTCCCACCTCCCTCACAGGCCGACCTGTCCGATATAGAAGGGTACCAGTATCCTCCAGCAATCGAGTGTCCCGCAATTACTCTACCGGAAATTGAGCGAGCAGTGAAGTCTGCACCCCGCAGTAAGGCACCGGGCATGGACGGAATTATCAATGGCATCTTACACGAAACGATCGACCTCCTCCTTCCTTGCCTTCACAAGCTCTTCAACGCATGCCTCGAACAGGGTTACTGCCCTTCACATTTCAAAGAAACAATCACGGTGGTCTTAAGAAAGCCGGGAAAAGACGATTATTCGCAGCCAAAGTCATATCGACCAATTGCCCTCCTCAACACGCTGGGAAAGGTGTTGGACGGAGTGATTGCAAACCGACTGGCATACTTAGCTGATACCTTCCAACTACTTCCCCGTCGGCACACAGGAGGGAGAAAGCTCACCTCAACAGAGCACGCAATGCATGTGCTCCTTCAACGCATATATCAGGCCTGGTCTGAAGGCGAAGTCGCCACGCTACTGCTGCTGGATGTGTCGGGCGCTTACGATAATGTCTCTCACGAGAGACTCCTGCACAACCTTCGAAAGCGCCGCATCGATCCAAAAGTCATCCGATGGATAGCTTCGTTTCTCAGCGATCGGTCGACAACACTCAAACTACAGGAATACACAGCACCGTCGGCACCAATCAAGACGGGGATTCCACAGGGATCCCGCATGTCACCATATCTATACTTGTTTTATAATGCAGACTTGGTAGAAGATTGTAAGACCGAAAAAACGGAAGCGGTAGGATATATCGATGATGTGTCTGTTTTGGCAGTCGGGCCTTCGTCAGCCCATAACTGCAAAACCCTCAAAGCCATCCACCAGAAGGCCGAAGAATGGGCGGTGAAGCATGGCTCAAAATTCGCGCCCGCCAAGTACGAGCTCGTGCACTTCACCAGAGATCCGTCAGCGAACACCACACATGCTCTCCGCCTGCCTCACACCAAGGTGAAAGCGTCCCCGTCTTGCAAGTACTTAGGTGTCCACATGGACACTAGATTGCGATGGGACTACCATCGGGAAAAACTAGAAGCCGGAGCTACCTCGAGACTATCTGCTCTCTCGGCCCTGGCTTCCTCATCCT